GAGTTTCAACTTCTCTTATAAAATGTATGTATTTATACTTCCGTTAATTACTATTATTAATAACAAAACATTAGAAATAATCTCGCACATTACAGTGTATTATGCGTATAATACGCTCGTATGCGGATATTAATTGTAACCAAAAATTGTAAATTATAAATTATTGTAAAAATCGCAGCAATTTTTATCTCAGCAATTTTTAGTCGCGCTGCAACTTCAGATACTTAAAGTTCAACAAATGGCAAAGTTCGAATTATTATTACTGACAAATTAAGTGTAACAATAATCGAATATCACGCGCGTTTTTCCAGCATTTTCGAAGATGCCTATATTCCTTACATAATATTTGCATCGTACCCAGTTAATGTAATTTACACTGAAAATATGAGTTTTTCACTACCTGATATTTTCCATGGCTGGTGTAACGTAGGTGTAATCAAAGCGCTGTAATCAAATACAATAGGATAGACTCTTCAATCTGTTCTCGGATGTTTTTTAGTACTTAATAGCGTAGGTGAATGAATGGATAGTTAAGCTACAGTTAACCTCCGTAGTTAAATCTTCATGAATTATTGCATACATCACGGAAATTGGACCATATTTATTGAGAAGATGTCATACAGTGGACATTTTTCTGAACTCTGTGAACCTGGCATTAGTGACATAGAATTTGTAGAGAGTATAGGCAAAAATTCATTATTGCTTAAATTATTATTTTTTAGTCCATAGAGCAACAATTAATAAATAAATATAAAATATGTTTTTTGAATTAATATCAAGATATTTAGCAATAAATAATATGATATTGATATATTGACATCATAAATCAAATTATTGAGTTTTGTATAATTATTTAAATTATTAATATCTCTTAACACTCTTATTTTTACATTTAAAATAAAAATTTATTCAAATTTATCTTTGCATAATTGAGAAAATTATCTTATCATTAATATTGCATATGTTAGATTTGTTAACTGAAAATGTTGAAATAATATAAATTATGTGTTTAAGAGTTTCTAATAATAAAAAAACACTCTATCATATCAATTCTTTCTACTGAATTATTCCTAAATTTAGGATAGCTGACTCTTGTAAGTCGGAAAAACTTAAACTTTCCGGTTGACTGCTGCCTGCCCCAGTTCTTTGTAACTTTAATGCGAGTATGCGTATGTGTATGCGTGTATGTACGTACGTGTGCACGCGTGCTCCCATTTTCTGCGTATATTCTGACCCGACGTCTGAAAAAGAGAGAAAAATCCGAGATTCTCTTCTCGTAATATCTTCTCTCTCCTTTGCTTTTACTGCGTCTGCCGCTACCGTCGTCTCGTACTACTTGGCAAATGCTGGAGACGCAAAGTCGCTCCGACTGACCTTATTATTGACAAGGACGCTTCTCCTGATTTATTAAGTCTGGAGCGACGTATGGAAATGAGTGGCATAATAATAAGTACTCTAATGAGGAAGAATTTAGGAATAAGGATAAGAGCATAGGCCCTTTTTTTTAGATTTCCATTCAAGAAACGACATTTTTAGCGGGCGCTATCAGGATTAACATTTTGAATGCCGATGACAATTTGCTGCAATGAATTTGGACCCCTTGATATTAAGTATATATAAATAGAAGAAATAGAATGCGGGACATACATACAGAAAATAGCTTGTCATGGAGAGCTATATACATATTGCGGAAAATAGCATGCCAATCATATTTTATAAGTAAAGCGGATTAATTCCTAAAATAATTCTTAGACGCTCAATATTTATTGTGTATAATTATTTTACAATATTATTAATACTCTTTTTAAACAATTTAAAATGAACAGTCTGGAGATTCAACATATATAGCTTTCAGATGATTAATAATGTTGTGCAATATCAAATATTGTATAATAATATTAATTGTTTAGGGTTTAGGGACTGCTTAGTAAACAATAAATGTTTTACATTAAAAAAATACATGTATAAACTGGTAATGATATAAAATGATGCTGAAAGCTACATTTATATGAATTGGTAGATCAAATAATGAAATGATAATTGAAGAATGTAATAAATAGAGATATTTGTACACTGAGAAAAAATATAGTTAATTTTAATAAATATTTAATTCAACTGCCAACTAAATATTTATTTATAGTAAGTAAATATTTGTTCAATAAAAAAAATGATTGTTAAATCAAATTAACATTTCTTGTATCAAATAAATATATCTTTATATTTAATAAATATTTACTTGGCAGTATTCAATTAAATATTTATTAAAATTGACTATATTTTTTTTTAGTTATAAAGAATTATATAAAGGATCTCTTTTGTTTGTTAATCATATCTATGTTGACGCGCATGTTCTATGAAGACGGACAATTTTCCTCTTCAACATGGACAACTCGAGGCCGAATGTAAGCTACATCATTTCCCGAGTAAATGTTATAGTTCAAGAACCGCCACGCACCGAGCAACGAACGGAATTCGTGGCGTAGCGGTATCGGCACGTCGCGACGCCTATGAGATTTATCGTAACGAAATAGCGTCGCTAATTAATAGTTAACTCGGGAAGCCACGCTTTTGATGGGGCTCGCATCTCCGATTCGGAACGGATACCACTCGAAGCACTTTCAGCACTTCGAACCAATAATCATGGTGACGGATGGCATCAGGGCTTGAGTGTTTTTACCAAAGCACGTGTCATCAGAGAAAGCGATGGTTTGAAACCGGTGGGATCCATCGCTCATTGACATTGTTTAAAATTATAGAAATTAATTACATTTAAAATAATACAACGGAAAATATCTATTTGGATGTAATAAAATAAAATAAATGTGTGTGTGTGTGTGTGTGTGTGTGTGTGTGTGTATGTGTGTGTGTGTGTGTGTATGTATGCACAGTGATATACATTATTGATATTTAAGCGTTAAAAAAGATAAAAAATTTTTATAAATTAATTTCTAAAAGAAATGTTTAAAGAGATTTTGTCTAAAAAAGTTTTAGAAATACTTTTATAGATTATTTATTTATTTGTTTTAAACAATTAATTGAATGCCAATGATTAATTGAAAGTTTTAGAGACTTTAGCATTGCATTTATATATATTGGATTGAGTGAGATGCAGTGGTAGAAATGTCTCCTTGAAAGAATTTTCTGGTCCATTTCTGTTTAGTGAAAATGCAGAGACTCCATCATTTTTTTTTTTTTAGTTTCAAACTCCCTAATCTCACACATCGAATATCTTGCTAATTAAATCTGAAATTAAATGCCGTTCATGCGCGAGAGTATAAGATTACATGAATATCTTGAAAATATCTTGGAAATTTGTTACTTATATTTAGCGCTTGTAAAATTTAATTTATCAAATCATATTAGATCCGAAATTTAATTAATAAATAAATTAACCATTATAGTCTATTTCAGTCATCAGTAAAGATATTTAATGTTTAAAAGATGTTATAATGTTAAAAAGATGTTGTGATAGATGGGATGATTTTATTAATTATATTTATCTCAAGATAGAAAATATTTTACTATTATTTGAGTTATTTAAATTTTTCGTATACTAATTCTGTATATTTTGCTGCACACAAAATCATTTGTTTTATAAACTTCTTAAATATTAATGTTCATTAATGTTTAAGGTTCTATTGTTTATTACCGAGTGTTTACTCGATGATTTGTGAAATAATGCATAATAGTGAATGGAAGATGACAAAGAACACATATATCGACATCACTAATAATAGTATATGTAAAACATAAGCGAGCCGTAAAATTCCCAGAAGGTTTAATAATTCTTTTAAACAGATCATCCAGAATGCGTAAGAAATTCAACGAAAGTGAAACGCGAAAGTAAAATGTCAAATAACAGAATTAAAG